AACTAGGCAAGGCAAGGCAAGGCAAGGCAAGTTTATTTGTATAGCACATTTCATACACAATGGTAATTCAAAGTGCTTTACATAAAATAAAATAAAAACAATAATCACAACAATAAAACAAGGAATTTAAAAACTTCAAAAATTTGATTTAAGAGGTTTAAAATGAATTTAAGAAAACGATTATACATATAATATAGTGCAATCAGTTCGGACATCGCACAGTGCTCATTCAATAAATGCACAGCTAAAAATAAGAGTTTTGAGTCTGCATTTAAATGTGACTAATGTTTTAGCACATCTGATCTCTTCTGGAAGCTGATTCCAACTGCGGGTGGCATAATAACTAAAAGCACATTCCCCTTGTTTTGTGTGAACCCTTGGTATTTCTAACTGACTCGATCCTAATGATCTGAGTGGTCTGTTAGGTTTATATTCAGTGAGCATATCTGCAGTGTATTTAGGTCCTAGGCCATTGAGTGATTTATAAACAAGTAAAAGTACTTTAAAATCAATCCTAAATATAACTGGAAGCCAGTGTAAGGACCTGAGGACTGGTGTAATATGCTCAGATTTTCTGGTTCTAGTCAGAATTCTGGCAGCAGCATTCTGGATGAGCTGCAGCTGTCTAATGGTCTTCTTGGGAAGGCCGGTGAGGAGACCATTACAATAGTCCACCCTGCTGCTGATAAAGGCATGAACAAGTTTCTCCAAGTCTTGACTGGAAACAAAACCTCTAATTCTTGCAATGTTTTTGAGATGATAGTATGCTGATTTAGTTACAGCTTTGACAGTGTGACAATCAGTTTCGGCTTGTTTCTCTACACTTGGTATAAACTGTTGAGATTGTCTAGGTTCATGGGACTCACCGGCTGTATGCTGATGGGGTCCGTGATGACGGTCTGCTGAGTGTTCTGCCTGTTTTGGAAATCCAGCAAGTAACTTTGTTTCAAGAACCGTAATCCTTTGTAGAAGTTTGCAGTAGTTCATGCAGCAAGTAGATTCAACAGGAGGCATTTTCTTTCTCTTCTGTTTGAATGTGGGCGGCTGTGTTTTCCCTTCTCCGGAATGTAAACTGCTGGCAGGGGGAGGCAAAAGTCTTCTTTTTCGTGGTATTATTCCAGTCCCAGAGAGTTTTTAGTTTTAGTGTTTGTGCCAAAAATATGTTGTTTGAGCACTGTGCTGATCTGCTGAAGTAAAAATCTTAGAAAAATCAAAGAAAAGTACAGAAATAGGGAGCAAAGCGCAGAGCAGTAAGCAAAAACGTCCGAACGGTAGCAAAGCTGGAAGTGCAAAAAAGCACTACACAGAGCCGTTGTTCACTGACGAGCTGTGCAAAACCACGTTCATATTCGCACAATTTTTTGCGCAGCTCGTCAGTGAACAACGGCTCTCAATGGTTCCAAGAAGAACCTTCAAAATCCATGGAAACTTTCCAATGGAAAATTTCACCCCAGAATCAACCACCAATCGAGTTTGTGGACCAAGAACCAACACAGAGTGTTGAGGTGATGACATTTTTGTAGGCCAACCCAGAAGTTAGCATCGCCCTGTTTTCCTCAACAAAAATCCAATAAACGTTTTCCGTTGGCCTCTGGATTATTGGAAAAAAATAGCCCTGTCAAACAAAAGTTTATGATTGTTACATGTTTTGTTCTCCAAGATAATAATCTTCACAAATAAACACAACTTCCATTATTTTTTAAGCCTAAATACAAATCAGCAGAATAAAGAGCTAAAATTAGGCTATAAATTAGGCTATATATTAGGCTATATTTTTTTATTTATTTATTTTTTTTAAACAAATAACATCATGGTTGCATGACTTTAACGTCACCACTATTAAGTTTCAGATAACATTTTCTCTGAAATTTGAGTTAGAATAGTTTGCAAGAGCACGTTTCAGGATTTTAGGATTAATTTCTCTTCCTAGATTTCATCACAACAGAAGTAATTAGTCAGGTTAGTACCATATTTAACTTGTCTGTTGTTTAACAGCATATGATTGTACAGCTGATGAAACGTCTTTCTGAAAATAACTTTAGACAAAAAAATCCAAAGCGGTTTTGGAAGTTAGGGTTAGGGTTACCTTTATACAACATTTACCATGTAAAAAATCTACATTTATCCCTCACAGCCTTGTTTTTACCTATGTAAAATTCAAAACGGCGTCTAACCTGACTAAGGTCTATCACAAGGGTGTCCAATACTGCTCCTGGAGGGCTACTTTCTTGCAGAGTTTAGCTCTAGCCCTAATCAGACACACCTGAACCAGCTAATCAAGGTCTTCCGGATCACCAGAAACTTCCAGGCAAGTGTGTTGAGGTTTAACTCTGAAGGACATCAGCCCTCCAGGAGCAGGAACATGAAGATCTAGACTGTAAAACCTCTATATAGATCATAATAGTATCAACCCTTTATAGCATCATGCATGGATCTAGGTAATACCACCCCACCTGTATAAAAGTGCTCAATATACAGTATAGAAAGCCCACAAATACCCTTCTGTTGCAGTTCCCATCCAGCCACTGGCGACTGACGGTAAAAGCACCATAGAAAGCCAACAGATGGACAAACTGACTGACGCTCAGTCAGTTCCAGACTCATAGCAGCTGTGTGGCCGGTTTAAGATGTGGTTAGGCAAGGGGGCAGGTGACATGACAACATAACAACATACAGACACACATGAGTGGTAAACTGACACACAGTCAGGCCTAAGCAGGCAGGCACTCTTTAAATAGGCTTTCAATTCAGAATTCCCCTAAAATTTCAGCCCCCAGGCAAATAAACACAGAGAAGGAAGTTAAAACCAAATTCAAAAGGACACAAAATAATCATTTGCATTCACTCAATCGCCTGTTGAGCACTGAACTGTTACAAAAAAAAAAAAGCAGCGTCGCTGCTCTCCAACAACATGCCATGACAGCATAACAGAAATGATCCAGGATTAATTCCATTACATAATTTGGCGTCTACGTTGACAAATGGGTCAAAATAATAAAAATGGTAAAATACCACAGCTGTTCATTTTGGAATAGTAGCGCCACATTATGCATGGAAGTGACCTTAAAAGATAAACCGTTTCGTTGATGCTCTGATAATGTGATGAATTCTGTGGTTATAGCTATATTCATTCAATATCCATAACCGCAAGTATGAGTCATTTTTCAAGAACAGTTGATTCAGACAACATATTTCTTGAGCCGTTGGATCCATCAACCAACACTTAAACAGAACCGGCTTGTATCTCAGAAGTCCATCTATGTATGAACTCATTTTAAATTGAATTCATTCAAATGCATCTAACCTGTTGGCTGGAGCTGTGCTATCTGGTTGGGCAATCAGCAAGACTTCTTTATATGCCTTTTTGATAATTGCAGGAATGTCTGGAATCGTTATCGTTAAAGCAACATTGTTTCCTCGACTACCCGGTAGGCTAATTGTCCGTGGCTCATGTATATGTGAGTTCTTGTTCTTCAAACACAAAACAATACAGTTTTCATCTCTGTACTTGCTACGGTTTCGTTTGCACAAAGTGCTCAATTTGAACTTTACACTGGCTGATTATGAATCATTACCACAAAATATATTTCAACAATATGCAGTTCTCTCTCTCAAATCGATGAATGTCAATCAATGAAATTTAAAGCTGCAGTTCGTAAGTTTTGCCTCTTTGTCGCCATCTCTGTTTGAAAACCTGTAATTGCAGCTGTTTGCGGAATTATCTTCCTTGTGTGGGTTGTGCCGCGTGGCTATAAGAATTTTAAATAAGAATTTTCACCGGATATTGTCACAAGACTTGGTACAAGTAAGTAACAAGTCTGACACGTTTGTTCTGACCAACTGAGGAAAAAAGCATTACAATAAATCGTGCTACCAATGGTGATTTAATCTAAAGATCGGTTAGCTCATATCACATCAAACCATGCTAATTATTATTATTAATATACTTTATTCTCAGATTATTAATGTCAACAACATCAGCATTGCCTATAGTGTGTATTAGTGTCTAGATTTCAATTTATGTACAGTCTAATCTCTAAATGTCATACCATTCGAATTTCATATTAAGAAATTATTTTAACCCAAAAAGCAAATTATGCTCCCTTCGAACTGGTTGTCTTTAAAATACAAATCTTGTGTAATCCCAGGCTATCTGTAATCAGAAGCACATAATTTGGAAAATAATTTAATTTCATTCACATGCGTTTCATAAACACATAATACTTTCTGTATTACAATCTGCCATCAAAATGATACATTTAATTATTCCAGCTGCTGTGAGAAAAGGCTATAAATGATCGTCCACCTTCAGGATCCTCACATGCAATAGCCTAGTAGCCGGGACAACTTCTTTATGTTTACAGACGTGACGTAATGACACAGTGCCATGCTCGAATTTCCCGCGAAAACCTACCCGTACCACTCAAATTAGAAAACATTATTATAAGCTAGCCATTGTGAATTGGGCTAAAGTAAGGCAAAGTTTTGAACACTGGCTGGTTATGTACTTGATCAAATATTGATATCAAATAATTTTTTACCAAAAAAGTTATGGACTGCATTATATGACTGTCAATTTTTTGTTTCTTTGTCAGAGGTTTGGAATATTAAGTTGTTGTTTTTTTAAATAAGTGTCATATGCTCAACAAGGTTGCATTTGATTAGACATACAGTAAAATTGTGAAATATTATAAATAACGGTTTTCTATTTTAATATATTTTATAATGTCATTTATTGCTGTGATGGCAAAACTGAATTTTTAGCATCATTACTCCAGACTTCAGTGTCATATGGTCTTTCATAAGTCATTCTAATATGCTGATTTGATGTTCAATAATTGTTGATACTCATTTTATAATGGTTCTTATTATTATCTATATTGAAAACAGTTTTTCCTGCTTAATATCTTTGTGGAAATCATGATACATTTCTATAAATAATTTTTTAGGATTCTTTGATAAATAGAAATTTGATTAACATCATTTATATGAAATAGAAGCCTTTGTAACATTATTTACAAACATTATTGTATATACTTTATTTCCACTTTTGATCAATTTAATGCTGAATAACACTAGTAATTTATTTTAGAAAATAAATTATATATACATATATATTAGAATTCAACAAATTTATATTTATTTATTTATATAATATATTTATGTATTGATATAATAATTATTATATTATTATTAATCAGCTGTAATTAATGTGTTACACTGACAGTCCTGTTTTAAACCTGATGAGGGCAGAACGTTTTGGTACAGGTTAAAACATAATCGTGCCACACTGTTTTTAGAACCAATGATGAGAACCTCTAAACCACATGGTTCCAATAATTTTGAGAAAATGCCTTTGCTCATTCTCCATGCAATCAAAAAAATGAGTGTACAATGGTAGAGTGAAAGGGATTCTTTTCTTGTTTGGAGCAGTCACTAGTGCATACTCTTGGCTGGGGTCTGACAGCAGGGCTGCCTGACTGCAGTTCTCATTAGACTGTAAATATGATGTGGTTTGGAGGAAAGAGCCAGTACATATGGAGCTGTGCGCCGCTGTCTGATGTGCGTTCAAAAACCACCGATACACACAGAGCTTCATTATATAGCGGAGAGAGGAGGAGAGGAACACGCAGACATGGAATGGGGCCGTTTTGGAAAGTCCAGGTTGAATTTGGAATAATTTAGCGACGGAGAATCCTGGTCCCAGAAGAACTTCAACAACGTATCCTGTACACACTCACACACCAACAGAGACACTGTAATATCCTCACCATATTAAGAATGGGTCGCATTGGGCCACTGACTATATAAACATTATTCATAGATTTCATGTGATGTCTCACAGTGGTGCAGCCGCCATTTATAGGACCGAATTGCAGTTCTGTCTATCTGCTGTGCTGTGATAACAGCAAATCACAATGGATTATTTACCAAGAGATGTGGATGTATGGAATCCTTTTGATTCAATATTTCTCGTAAGCACAGATGCGTTTTTACATTTTTGTATTTTACTTAGCAAGTTCATAAAGGAACTTGCAAAAGGTGAAATTTGCGTGCGATACTGCTGATTTGCCAGTTATGCATTTCGTTATGCTCCACCTAAAGCTAATAAATCAACAAGGTGTTTTTGATCTTTGATCCAAGTACAGTTATGTGAGTCTAGAATGTTTACGTTGCACTAAACTTTGACGAGCAACACTCCGATCCGCAAACAAACAGATGAGGAAGAGGAGGATGATGACGGTCCAGAAATGAAAGCTCCCAAGCAAAGAACTCACTGAGCTAAGATGTGGAAAGACATGCTGCACAATGACCACAACTCCTGACAAGAGATTTGGAAAATGAGCAACAACCAAGAACAGTATTCATTGATTAACTTTAAAAATTATTCATAGTAACAGTTAGGTAATTTAAATTATTTTGCCAAGTAAAAAAATTTTAATTCCAAAACTTTGCCATTTACCAATGTGTTTTTCAAAACACCTTTTAAATTTTTAATGTTTTAACCTTTATTTATTAAAGGTTACAGTCCAAGTGTATATAATGCCTCATTCATTCAAGTTAATGCATGGGTAATTTAGCAAAAAGTAAATATTTTATCTACACTTATTGTATAACTGCTGTTTTGTTTTTTTGCCGTAATTGCATGGTTTTGCAAATAAATTGTTGTGTAAATATATTTTACTCATGCTAGCTTGATCAAGCGAGTTCTTTAATGGACTTTAAAATTGCTTTCATAATAATATGATGTTTATAGATTTGTTAAGTCATGTTATTTATCTATTATAATCTATATAATTAAAATGAAAGTAAATGTTTTGGCTAGGTAACGTTATCAATTTTAAATGAAATATTAATGGCCAGATTGATTCGGCCCAGAATCTAGCAGTGAGTAAACAGGTATCCAGGCCGGGTGCGGCAGATGGATCCGGGCCGATGGATAAGTCTCTAGCATGTGAAAATTTAACTGAATCTGGCGCGAGTGTACGGAGAGGGATTGTGTATGAGGTAGACGTAAATAGTCTATCAGCAAATGTCAAATTGATAAGTTTTCCCTAGACTTTAGTGGAGTCAGCAGTTCGCTTGACAGTAAATCAGGATCTAATCCTAAAGTATCTTTTTTTTTTTTAATACCATTGTTTTTCGTTGTTGGTGAAGTGTTATTTTGGTTTCCGATCACCAAGGAGAGGCTACGCATTAGTACGCAAGGTCCTAAAGATGGCGGCCGCAACAAAAAAGTAATGTGACTAAAACCCATAAATATCTGGATAAGAATATAAAGTAAATAAATAAAAATCTCATCTAATCTAAATGAATCTAAACTAATATAATCATTTAATTCATATGTAGCTTTGTGTGTGTGCGTGTATATATATATATATATATATATATATATA